GACTTGTCAGATTTAGACTCAAGGTGCTTTTCATTTCAGTGCCCCAGGGTTTAAGCAGAAAAAGTTAGGGTTTTGAAAACTTTTTATTTGAACTATTTCAGACTTCGAGGAAAGCTGCACAGTTAGCCCTGAGTTTCCCGTGCCCCCCACCCAGCTGCCTCTCATGATAACGTCTCACCTGGGCCTTGTCGCTGGTCCTGCACACGAGCCGGGCTAACGCCCTCACTCGCGAGTCTTCATTTCCCACTGACGTTTGTGACGCAGGGCTGTGTTCAGCATCCACACCGCTCTGAGTTTGCGTTTCTCCTTCATCTCCTGCCACCTGTGACAGATCTCCAGCTTTTCTTTGCCCCTTAAAATGACACTTTAGAAGAAGTTGCGCGCAGCCTGCGAGAACTGACCGACAACGCACCTTCTGTGCGCCCCTTTTTTTGTCTGTGGCCTTTCAGCGTGCCATCAGATGCTGTTTCCTCAGCGGCTAAGGCAGGTTCTTTTCCCACGCCTTTGGTGAGGTTCTTACTTATCGGTCGTACGTCCAGGTTCATGTGCTACTGGTTGTCATCCTGTTTGGGTTTTGGGGTTTTTTTCGCATGTGAGGGGATGTGGAGCACATGGTGGTGCTGCAGGTCACAGCCACACAAAAGGGACTCAGAGGCGGTCATCTGCTGCTCCGTCCACCCTTCCACGCCTTTCCTACCACCCCGTTGGGGATCAGTCTCTGTCGTCCGTGGTTTATCCTTCCGGAATGTCTCCTGCACGATGTGGCAGACACCTGCAGGTTTTTATACACCTGCTGTCTTGCCCACAGTGTTGCATCCTTGACGTCGTCTCTGGAAGCTGGCTTCTCCTTCTAACCATGTCCTGGAAACCACTCCGTATGCACATCTTCCCCATTCTTCTTGTTGCAGCTGCAGGGACTCCGGTTTTGGTAGTCCGTGCTTCCGGGGAAATTCTCCATTTCACCAAGGTTTTCAGATTAATTTCATGGAAGACTTCAAACTATATCTTATGATTTTTTTTTAATTCCTCTGTTTCAAAAGTTAAATGTCTTTAATATAATCATGTGGTTAAAAAAAAAAGGAAAAGGAAAAAATGCGAGTGGCTGAAAAATATCATCATCCTAGAATTGTATGCCTATTGTTTGCAAAGCAACACATTACAGAGTATTGTTTACCGGGTTTTCAAAGGTTAGCTGATTAATGTGTGATACAAAAATATCTCTTCTGTCCATCTGTGCTGTTGGTTAGAGAGCTGCCCATCGTGAAAAGGCTTTATTGCTTGAGAATTATAGGAGCAGGCTTACTGACCAAGAGGCTTCGACCAACTCCCTGAGTGCTGGCTGACATCAATTTGACTTATAGAGCTAATTCTCAGGATATTAAATGTCAATAAAGATTTAACACAAAGGTCGATTTATTATACTGTCATTTGATGAGACTGCAGTCTCATCATATAAAAAAACTATACGATGTGATTTCTCCCTCTAAAATGAGAATAGTTTTATTCCTTTTTCTAGTTACTAAAATCACTTGTATTTTTTGTTTTCAAAAAAGCATAAGAGAAAAACATAATGAAGAAAACAGAAATCACCTAAAGTTCCACTGCCCACACCTGTGTACTGTCAACCTGTTGATGACTTCCCTTCCAGAAGTTTCTTTATGCATCTGCCCACCGAGGGAAATGGTGTGCACACCATCACACCGTCTGTGCTGTTCTGTAACCTGAAGAGACGTCTGCAGAAAACAGCACAGGCCCTGCAGGAGAAGTCGTAGGTTTTGAGTACAGCGTCAGGATGTGGGTTTCTGTCCCCAGGGTCTGCACCAAGCCTGGTGTTGGGTTCAGGAGCGTCCAGGGTTGTGTCTGTAGGCAGACGGGGAGAGAGTGTCTGCGGCATGAGGGCCTCACAAGCAGGTAGCTGCCGAGACTTAGACAGAAGCCTTACTTCTGCAGAAAGGCGGCAGCACCAGGCCTCCTGGCGGTACATGGCTCCCTTGGTGAGGCAGTTCTGTACAAACCAGGCTGCCCTTGGGCTTCTCAGAGAAATCTGGCCTGCAAGGCACAGTGGCATTCTGTTGTTTGTCCCACATCGCTCCGCTGACAGCAGTGTGATAAATGTGACAATTGTCATGCAGTTCGTCACAGAAAGTTACATTATGTGCAGCCCATTCTGTCCCGCTTGGGTACTTGTTTAATAATATTGATTTAAAAAGAAAAGACCAATTAAGGGTTGTCACAGTTGAAAAGTGAGAATTCAGTATCTGGAACATTTGCTTTTCTGAACATTTCTAGTCAAGTAACTGAGATGTGCTATTTGGTGCCTGCCAGGAAGCCAGCCTGCTCTTTCTGGGGTCAGAGGGAACCTGCTGGTCTTTTATGGGGACACAATGGACGTCTCAGGCCCCCTTAAGGGACCATTCTGGGGACCCTCACTTGAGGCTCAGAGAATCCTGGGGGTCATGGAGCCGGGGAGTGGGAGAGTCTAGCGGCTGCGCCAGAGTCCCCCTTCCCTCCGTGCATCCCAGCCACCTCGTGGGCGCCAGGACACTGGGGCACACAGGGGCGCCCTCCCTCCACCCCCTGCATGGCAGGCAGAGGGCAGGAGGGGTAACTCCTGGAATCCACAAGAATTTCAAACCAAGTGTCCTTGATGCTGCCCTGCAATGCGGGTGGCTCTGTGTGAACACATCTGTGTGGGTGGCGTTCAGGGCCAGGCTGGGCCAGAGTTGGCTTCTTGGCAGGGAAGTCGTCCAGGCCCAGTGAGGGCTCAGGCTCCACCAGCGGGGCAGGGGTGGGGACTCGGTAGTTTAGGACAGCAGCCCTCAAACTTCTCAGTCATATGACTATTGAGGCCATAAGAAGTGTTGTTATGTGTGTTCTATGTACAGACGTCACCTGTTAGAAATTGATGGGGGCGGGACAGCCGCTTAGAGCCCTGGCCTTCACACGCTGAGGGCCCATCCACTGTCCCCAAGACCATAAGAGAGGAGAGGAGAGAAGAGACATTCAGGATGGATTTGGAATGGCTGGAAGGAAAGACCGAACTCCCAGGAGTGTTAACTCTCCGTCTGGAATCACGTCTCCCAAAACTGCTGGACTGGCACCACCAGTAAACAGATGGGTGACGCCAACACCCAAAGCCACAGCCACAGCTGGGAACACTTTGCTGTCGTGGGTGGATGGAATCTCTCGTCTCTGAGCTCCAGAAGCAAAAATACTCATGTAAATACTACTTCAGAGAAAAAATGGTTTACGGAACATTTGCAAACAAATGTACTAATTATAATTCTTTTACCTATACACTGAAACAGATCTAGTACTATAATTGTACTAGAATGTAATCTCCATAAATATCTTAGGCACACAGGCACAGAGATGTACTTATATCTATCTGAGGATGTGCGTGTTGAGATTGTACAGACTCGACCCAATTGTGGGTGAGGAGACCCAGGGTGACCTTGGGAGGACTGGATGTGAGGAGACCCAGGGTGACCCTGACAGAATTGGATGTGAGGAGACCCAGGGTGACCCTGAGAGGATTGGATGTGAGGGGACCCAGGGTGACCCTGAGAGGATTGGATCTAACAATGTTGACCTGAGAAGACTATTGTGTTTTTTTGTAAATGTAGACTAAATATTCTAAAATTTATTTGGATGGGAAGGTAAGTTCTGGAATGAGTAAAACTGTTCTGAAAAGAAGAAAAACGTGGGTGAAATCAGTCCACCTGATTTCGTGACTTGTCTTTAGCTATAGTTATTAAGACTGTGTAATATTGGTGGATATATATTTACATAAGTCAATGGGATAGAATAGAAAACCCAGAAACAGATGCATACGAACATGCCCAAATTATTTTTGACAAACTTTTAATGAAGGAAAAACACTCTTTTCAACATATGGTGCTGGAACAATTAGACATCCATTGGCCAAAAAAGTGAACCTTGAACCTAAGTCCCACAATTTCCACAAAAATTAAGTCAACATGAATTCAGGGACTTAAATAAAAAACTATAAATATTAGAAAAAGAATCATAGAAAATCTTTGGGATGTGGTACTAAGCAAATTATACTTGACACCAAAAGCACAGTCAATAAAAGAAGAAATGATAAATTGGACTTTATAAAAAGTAAAAACATTTGCTTCACTGAGCATTTACCCCAGAGGAAAGAAAAACCTTTATGGAAATGTTTATAACAGCGCTGTCCATAATACCCAAGTCCTGGGAACAAACCAGCCATCCTTCAACTTGTGAACGGTTCAGCAAACTGTGGCACATCCATCCCATGAGAGAGCCCTTGGAGCAGACTGTCGGTGCAGCAGCAACCTGGATGTATCTCCAGAGAATTACGCCAAGTGAAAAAAATCCAGTCCTAAAAGGTTACATAACCGCATGTGTCCATTTCCATACCGTGCTTGGAATGACAGAAGTATAGAGATGGAGCCCAGATTAGTAGTTTTAGACAGCAGTGCGTCTGGATGCCAGTGTGGCATCCTGGCTGTGAGATGGGGCTGCAGTTTGCGTGATGCTGCAGTTGGGGAGCTGTGTAAGGGGCACATGGAAGCTATGCAGTCTCAAAATTAGAAGTTTAGTTTATATGCAGCTCTGCTGTATACACCTTGCTTTGTGTATAAGAGTTATTAGTTACCAAATTTTTATGTGTCATAGATTTGGAGATTATGTGGTTCTCATAAATCATAACTGAAAAAAGTCATCAATTTCTGTCACCAACACAGCTAAAAATAGATCTAATTAGCAAGTTTTCGGTTCTGATCATATACACACTTTAGAAGCCTTTTGTAATTTGTAACTTTGACATATAGAAAATAAATCTATTTCAAAACAAAATGATTGAACACATATGAGTTTAACAATCCGAAAGAAATTATAGAAATAATCCTAATAGTTCTTATCTTTATTTTAAGATTGTGAAAACCTCCTAAAGAATCATGTTGTTTTTAAAATTAGTTATTTACCTTGGGCTCTTGGCTTTCGCCCCATAGGTGATTTTTATTGTAATTCCTGTGAAGTTTGTCTTGGGAGGACAGTAAGAATTGCAAACAAGTGCAGCAGCCTTCTTATCGTCAGGACGTGGGTACGTCTTTATTTTTAACCTCTCAGCCGCATTCAGTGCTAGTGGGTTGGTTGAGAGAAGCTTGTCTTATTGAGACCACGTTTTCCGTACTGTCACATGTCCTGCTTCACGTGTTTGTTCTTGAGAACCTGTAGTCATGTCAGAGGGTAAGTGCTTTGACTGCGAAGCAAAGCGGTCAGGCCAGGAGCAGGCTGGAGTGCGGAGTCACCTTTGAGAAGTGCGGGCACAGTTCCCTCTCACCACACACCAACACTTTTGGCCCCAGGATGGCTGATGGTGAGGGGCGGTGAGCAAATAGGTAAACAGGTGTCACCAAAGTTACGAAAACACATGAAGGAAAACGGAGGCAAGGAACCACTTGTCAGAGCCTGTGGCTGCTGGATGAATGACCCTACCACCTCTATCGTGGGGAACATTTGGCACCCTAGAGCAGCTGGCTTTTAAGCTGAGGGCAAACCACTCTGAGCTTCCTCCTCGCTGTGACACCCCCCTTTTGGTGGCAGCCTGCTAGCCTCCCATGTATCTTGGGGCGACTGGCCCCCCAACAGCCGTGTGATGCCTACCAGCCTCTAAATTGAAATCTAGATTTTTGTCACGCCTTTCCCTCCATGGCTTCTTTAATGAGTGTTTACTCAGCGAGACGGATGCGTTTGAGCAGGTCTGCCCTCAGCACACTGACGTTTGGGTTGGTGACTCTGAGGTGGGCGTCCTGGGCCCTGTAGGTGCCGGCAGCACACTGACCTCCACCCACTCAATGCCAGGAGCCCCCAGTCGTGACGAGCGGTGTCCCCTGCGGCAGGGAGGGGGCAGTGGACCCCGGTGGAGAGCCCTGGTCTGAAAGCCCCCCCCCCCGAGCTCTCTCCTCGAGGATGCTGGCCACGTTTCCTGGAGCAGTTTGCCTGATGCCCTGGCAGCACCCAGGCACACCCACAGACGCACCTCGAGTCAGCACTGTCGGTGCTGCACTCACAGAAACTTGGGGCGATTAAATTCAGAACAGTACAAGAGACGGTATCCCGGTGACTTGTTTTTATCACGTGTACCAGAAAGCCCTCCCGTGTTCACACCCAGACGCAGGAAATCCCGCACTTGCCGCAGGCTCCTGGACGGCCGCTTGGAACGCTGTGGCTTTGGGGACGGTGTGGCCGTCATGCACATCGTGGTCCGGGTGCAGACAGCGCAGTACAAATGGAATTGTGTCCGCGATGTCGCGTAAGCCACATTTACTTTAAACTGCTTGAGGCGTTCTAGAGCCATTTAATGGATTTGCGAGTATTCAGCCAGATTTATGCAAAATAGTCATTGTTTTCCTAGGACCGTATTACTTTTTTGAGGGGGGTGGGATAGGGCAGGAGGAATCCTGGGCAAATAGCCAGCCTGGGCTGGGGCTGGAATTGGGGTTAAAGTCGCCTGGGCTCCCTAATGACATTCCTTCACGTAAGCGTCCTCCCTTCTCAGGAGGGCGGTGCCCCCGAAGAGAGCAGTGTTGTTACATCTAGTAACGGTGCCCCCTGAACGCTTGTCCCCAGGAGCATCTTGCATTCAAGTTCATCTTTGTTCTGCGTCTGTGAAACCAGCAAATGTCCAGCAGGATGCTTGCTGCCAGGGTGTGTGGAGCCACGCATGAGAGATTTAGACTATAATTAATGAGGAAAGGGACATGTCTCCAAGAAGCTGAGCTGACACTCCCCCAACAGCATCAGAGGAGAAAGCACTGAGAGCCCGATTTCTAGGCGCTCTTTGGGGGCCCAGACAGCTCCTTTCTCAGGGAAGGTGGGGCTTAGGTTTTCCCACATGGGCGAAAGCCCCATCCCTCCTGGGGTTGCTGTCATCCACATTTCACGCCCATCAGGGGCCCCTGCCAGACGTGGACTACGGAAGGTCACAGCTGGACCTCCATCGCACCACTGGGGACCAGACAGGAGGAGGCCAGTGGCTTCTCCACGGTCCTCAGCCACTCTGTGGCAGAGCCATTAAACACGGGCCTGACCCCAGCGGGAGCTCCGCCTGGCCCACGGTGGTGCGGGCTCAGGCTCTGCCACCAAACCACAGGATGCGTGTGGCTTCTTCTGGGGAACGACATGGGCCATGTTCCTGGGTACCTGTGTCACTTCATACAGTTCAATCCCAACGCTGCCTACGTGCCAGGCCATGGGTGACGGGAGGGGAGACTGAGCCTCATTCATCGTCTCCTTTGTCCTTCAGCAAATGTTTCCCGACCACACACTCTGTGCCAGGGACTGTGTTGGGGTGTTTGGGACATGTCAGAGGACGAAACCCAGCAGCATGGCCTCGTGGAGTTTATATTCTAGCAGGAGCAGATAGCAAATAAAAAACAGAAGTAGAAATGAGTCAATTAGTCCTTTAGGAGGAGAAAAGTGCTATGGGAAAAAAAAAAAAAAAGAGAAAACCCAGCTAGGTAAAAGGGTCAGGAGGACACAGGTGTGGGTTTTTGTATAAAGTGAGTGACAGGTGAGTCTCAGTGAGACTCAATAAGAACTGCAGGGGTGAGGGCAGCACGGGGTGGGTGTGGGGGGGTGCTGGGACGGGGGACAGCCGGAGCTATAGGGAGGCTGAGGGAGGAGCAG